TCAAAAACATGGAGCCAATGCCTAGAACTCTTCATTTATAGGCAGGAGTGTACATGGTGTGTGGCCTGCTTGCAAGCAAATCCACAGCCAGAGGAAAAGAACCTGACCAGATAAACCCCCCAGACCTATTTCCGAAAAGCAACCTGTGCTGACGAGGGTCCCTGGGCAGAGGGTACCATGTCCAGATGTGACAACTCCAAGGTGTGCCACCCCGCATGCCCACCCAGGGTCCAGAGGCGAAGGGAAAAGACAGTGTTGCTGACCCTGACCTGTGTAGGCCAAGGCTGACATGTTTTTACGTCTTGGGCTTTAACAGAAAATGTTAAAAGTGAAATAGGATTTTAAAATTTAAAAAGAGAAAGACCTTATACAATAAGGATAAAAGGGAAGAAAAAAATCTGTAAAGCTGAACAATGCATGTTCTAATGAGTTCTTAGAAAAGAATCAAAAATTTAAAATTTTAAAAGTTTATCCAGTAAACAGTTATTGTACGAGAGCATAAGCATTCTGAGAGGCTGAGGCAGGACAATCACAAGGTTGAGCTGAGCCTGGGCAACTCACAGAGACCTAGCCTCAAAAAAATAAAAAATAAAATAAAACCGGGCTGGGGCTGTAGCTCAGCGTGAAGCCCTGGTCCAGTCCCCAGCATGACGTGCCATATTTTTATCATGACTTTTCTGTGTCCAGAGCAATTCTGACATACATGCCCTCCCAGGTCTCAGCCCCCACAGGGTCCTGTCTGTCCCCGAGAGCAGCGGGCTGGGTGAGGTGCAGCCGTTTGTCCAGCACCAGAGAAGGCTCTGTGACGATGGCGGTGCCGCCACGCAGCCCAGCCCTGTAGCATGTCCTTGTTCTACGTGACTCCACAAAACCAGGCTGTCCACATGTCCCCCACCCCTAGGGCCTGGGCTCAGACTGGGTGTAAAACAGCGCCAAACTCCTCATGGAGCACCCATCACCTGTGAGTGTCCAGCCAGAGGGAGGCAGAGACAGGGATACCACGGGAGGGGAGGAAAGGAGCCCTGGGAAGCATCAGTGGGCACAAAACCTGACAAATCATGGCTCTATGTTTATTTTTAAATAAATTAATAAATATCCCCACATTTTATCCATTTTAATTGTCGCAAGGTAAATATTTCTAGACACACCAGGTGCACACAAGAGCTCCTGGGGCCCCTCTGTTTTTTAACACTGCACCCAGGCCTGAAGACAAAGTATCAGCTTTTTGAGATTGAGGCTGGAGAAAAATTACATTTATTAGGAACCAGCTTAAACCTCCCCCAGGCTTGGTCAGGCACAGATGTTTCAAGACACCGAGTTTTATGCCATCTCCACATGACTGCAGGGACTTGCAGCTCTGATTCAATCCCAGGCTCTTGTCCTCTTGTCCTCCTTAGCCAGTAGTAGTAGTGGAGGTCACGGTCACTGTCTACCCCACTAGTAGGCAGCGGGTACAGTTGGGGTTTTGAGTCAGGCTCAGTGGGCAGCTGCTGGAGGCCCTGGGGGCAGGGTGGGGCTGCTCTCACAGGGCCAGAAAGGACCACACAGAAAAGCAGTGTCGCCTGCTCTTTCTTCATGCAGATCTTGGGCTGCAGACTTGGCTGGGCTTCCTAGCTTATCCTGATACCCGCTAAGTAGATTATCTATGACTCTGTATAATCTGTGCTCCATCTTAGTTACAGGAAAAGCCATGAGCCACATCTGTAAACCCCAGCTCCTCAAGGTGATGAGGCTTGAACTCTCAAATCCTGAAGAAAAAATCCAAACGCTGCCTTGCGGGTGAGGTCACTCAGCTCTTTGATTTAAACTGGAATTCTGCTGTGCGCACAGGCATACAGGACAAGACAAGCATCCCACAAACATCTTGCTCCCATGGGCGAGCCCTGGTCATGCAGAGGTGTGGGCTTGCAGGACATGCTGGCCATGCAGTGGTGCCCTCAGCCCCTTGTGCAGCCAGGGAGACAGAGGTGGCACGGAAAAGGGAAGGGGCGCGTCCGGGCCCACACTGCCCAGGGCTCTGCTCGCTGCACAGGACCCCAGGTCCTATGTGTTTTTAGAACTCTGCTGGCGGAATGTTCTTAAAAATGAACTGTGTTAGGGTCCCACTGAGCTCCTCGTTTTTACACATTAATAATCTCACTCGTTTCCACTCAAACATAGCCTTAAGGTTGCCTCACGTGTTCTGCGCTAATTTCCCAATGCTTGATGGTGATTTAAGGAGAGTGGGTTCCCTCTGGATGCACCCCAGCAAGCAGAGGCTGGAGCTCAGCAGAGAGGTGGGTGTGCGCCTGAGCCTTTGCCCCAGGGAGCTGAAGCTCTGTTCTTAGGTCCAAGGATCAAGGCTGAGGGTGAGGTGGAAACACTGAGAATGGTGCCTGTCCCTTCCCCAGGGCAGGACAAGGCATTGGATAGGAGCCCCAGAGGGGAGCAAGCTTGGTCCTGGCCCAACAGGAGACTGTGGTGCCTGGGATCTCTTCAGACCACAGGACGGTGTCACCCATGGAGCATCGCCAGGCAGCCCAGGGACGCCACAGTGATGACAGAGGCTGAAGAAGAGTGACCAGAGAGCTGGACTCCAAGAGCACCTGAGTGTCCTGCTGGCCACCCCTTCTCAGGTCAGCGGTCCACATGTCTCAGTTCGGAGCCAGCAGCCCAGGGTGGCCGGTCTGCTCCTCTCCGCCCCTATGATGGAACCGAATAGAGGAGTGGCGGGAAATCTCCAGCATCGTTGTCTCCAGCCAGGAGCACGCTTTGCTTTGTCCCTTAAATGAAATCTCCTTTTATTTATGTTTTGCTTTGTTTAAAATTCATGTTAAGGCACAGATTGGGATTGTGTACATTCATGGGATGCAATGTAATATTTTAATCTGTATATACATAACGCACAATTTGAAACTAATTTCAATAATTTATCATTTCTTGTTGGTGAGAATGTTAAAAATCTACTTTAAAATTTTGTCTTTACCTCAAACAAAAAGTCCACACTGTGTCTGTAAGGACAGGGCCAAGGGACATCAGAGGCTCATTTAGTCTGGCGGGGCCGGAAGTCAGGGTCTGGGGAGAAGGCCAGTACTTGGGGAGGGCTGTGTGTGGGTGGCTGGAGTGGGCGCCCAGTGGTTCAGACCCCTTGGCTGCTCCCTCACAGACTTGGGGCAAGGTCCCCTGCAACACACACATTGCTGCCTCCCTAGACCCTGAGCTCTGGGCTCAGGCTTACCATACCCCTACCCCCATAGCTTGTGATTTTCAGGGGCCCCCAGCACCCTGGCTTGGGAGCGACACTGCCCTTTGCTCATCATGAGAGGCCTGGGGTGGACTCTGGCCTTGGTTCCTTCTGATCCTTCATGGACTGCTATGTGTCAATGTGAAACCATTTAATAACAGGCTTGCCTGCCCAGTACCTCATGCCCAGGGACCCAGAGCTGTAACTGCATACGTGGGCAAGGAAAGGGCCCCAAAGGCAGTGTGCAGAGAGAGCACTCTGAGTGCCCGGGCTCCCCTGCATGGCCTCAGGCAGAGCAGGACAGTGGTATATGACTGTGACCACATGGCCATCATGGGTGGCATGAGGCCCTGGCCTCACATCAGTTTCAAAGTTCGTGAACCAGGTATAGTACAGCGATCGAGTGGGTCATGTTTTAAGAACATACGACTCATAAAAAATGCGATCCTTTCAATGAAGGCAACTTGGAATATGGTACTTTTAGGAAGTTTAGTTTACAAAAATACTTCATTTAAAGACTGCAATAAGAAATAGTTTAATATAAATAAGTAAATCTTATTGGGGCTTTAAACATGATAAATTGTTCTAGAATATCGTAATACATATGCAATATAAAATTTATTTCTTAGGTTACAAACGTACTTCGTGTATTATTTGAAGATTTATTGTACTCTTATATTACCAGAAAAACTTGATTCTGCAACCAGTCCATAGAAAACCATCTAAGTGTTTCTATGTACAAAAATAGAACCTATATTTATTTTATAAACTAAAGGCATTCAGGTTTATCTTTAGCCAGACTGATGTTAATGCAACTGTAAAAATGCAACAAATAGGGGAAGAAAAGACAAAAATATTTGTGCATAAAATGCACCAGGTCAGGATTTTTTTTTTTGCCTACATAATGTATACAGTTTAGTGGAGGAAAACTAAATAACATTCCCGGGCCCATTCCCAGGAAAATAGTACTTACAACTGTTCCACAGTAGTCGCTATACATTAATCTTGCTCCCATCGGTTAATTACATCACCCCTTAAGACAGACGTGTAATGTAATTAGAGATTTGAACAGTTCACAGCCAGATCACTTAAAGTAACATTGTTAATGGGCTCTGGAAGTTCGGTCTCTACTGTTGCCAGTGTTATAACTTCTAATTACCCGCATAATTAGGGCTCTGCCACTGCCATAGCGTAGCGGTCCCGAACACTAATGGGCATTAGCCGTCGTGCGCGAGGCATGTTTTGATGTTCTCGTCCAATTGCTTAGGGTCGGAGGAGCGATTTGCCCTTGGAAACCTGGCAGTTGCTATGCGGTGGCCTGGCCATCCTCCCTGGCTCCCCCGCACCCCGCGGCCACTGCTGTTCCCATTCAGAGGCAGTGTATAAACTCTATTCACTGGGCTCCTCATGAAATGTAAATGTGGCACCTATGGATGAAATTTCCCGAGTTTAAATTGCCCCTGTTGCTCGTACTACAAAATAACAGCGTAAACTTGGATGTCAAATCAACTGGAATGGAAATTAAATGGCATCAGAATTTCCTTCATGTACAGCTAGATCTGCTGCTAATTGACGGAGGTGAGGACTGAAAGTAAATGGGGGGAAGAAAAGAATCCCGTTGCTCTGCTGAGAGTCATGTGTGAGAATGTGGGCGGGGGAGGCCGTGTGGGTGGGGTGCGGGAGGGGGCTCCTCGGGGTGCAGAGACTGGGGAGGGCCTCATGGGGTGCACGGAATGAGAAGGTAACACCCATTTGTGCACTGAAATAATAGACTTGGGTTTATTTGCACACTTTATTAGGGCATTTTCCAATATTTCAAAAGGATATCATTAGAATCCAAGTTAATATGTCCCATTGGGGTTTATTTGTTGGGTAAAGGGACTTCTTTGCAGACCTCAAAGGTATATATGGCCAAACCCTAAAAATGCATCCTTCTAAGAAAGTTTCCTTTTTGCTGTCATCTGATAAGGCTCAGCTGTCCAACTCAACAGCAGCCTGAAGCCCAGACGCTTTAGCCTCTTGTCCAGTGAATGGTGCTCTTGGAGGGCACGCTGTTCCCTCCGGCAAAGAGTGGGCCCCACCACCTGCACTTGGGTGGATCCCATGGCCTGAACCTAAATGGCTCCCATCAGGTGAACCTGCATAAACCCAATGACCCCAACCTCCATCCTGGAAAACTATCCGGTGCCTACAACCTGTAGGAGACTTATTTTAGGGCCACCGTTACAATGTTCTCATGTCACTTTCCATCTGCATAAAGAGTTGGTTTGAACCCACATCTGGTCTATGCCAAATGCTCTAATGTGGCCTATGCATCACATAAGTCATGGTGCTACTTGGTCGTGCCACAAAACCAGAGCTTTGTGAAGAGACATGACGGTGAAGTAAGACTCTAGAAGTGAACAGCTAATCATTAGAAATGTGCATTCCTAAGTCTGGGGAAAGATGGAGAAGGCTGAGATAGACTCTTTGTAGACCTGCTTTTCGTGGTGGGCACCAGGAAACTGGCAAAGAAGGGGAGCAGGGTGGCCTTGTCTGCCTCCCATGGGACTCAGCAGGAGGAGCAGCTCCACCCCGAGGTGCCGTCCACTCCCCCATTTCACCAGCAAATCCCGATCTGATGCTGCTGAGTTCAGAACTGGAGCTCAGGATCCAAATAAACATGGTCTTTGTTTTCAAGAGCTCACAACAGAGCTTGAGAAGAAGAGCCCACTGCAGGAACAAGTGACCAGACCCCCAGGCCACAGGCCAAGAAGTATCTACGTGACACAAAACCATCAGGAAGTAATCCAGGGGTGGAGGAGCTCTACTGTGGGGCAGACCCTGATGCCTTCCTGGAGGGAGCAGGAACCCACTGAAGAAGGCAGAAAAGGAAAGGCACAATTTCAATCAGGGAGTGGGGAAGGGAACTGAAGAACAAGGGTTTCCACTATGTTTCCAGCTGGTAATGGAACAGAAGAGAGCTCAAAGGTTAGAGAACTCGGGAATGGAAAAGGAGAGAGGGATGTGAGACCCACGTGGTGTCCCAGCCACGGATGACAAGGGAACCTGCTACGCTAGCAGTGGTGGGGTGGCTCAGGTAAGATGCCAGTCACACTGCATCCGTGGTGACGGAGGAGCCTGTATCCATCATGAACACCTGTGCATGCTGCCAGGGATGCACTGCAGACCTCAAGAAGGAGACTGAGCTCCTGGGGCAGGGGCAGTGATGCCCCAGGCTACACAGAGGCCCCTTCCTGAGTCTAAGTCCTAACACCAGGGCCTCAGAGTGGGACCCCTTTGGAGACAGGGTCACTGTGGATGGGATTAGGTAGGAAGGTAGAGGGGCCCTGATCTGTGTGACTGGCGCCCTCATGAAAGGGAAATATGGACACCATAGCAGACACTCAAGGAGGAAAGATGGCATGAGGAGACACAGGGAGCAGACAGACAGCCCTCTGCAATCAGGACTGGGGCCCAGGACAGACCCTGCCCCTCAGTCCCAGAAGGAACGAGCTCCACAGACACCCACATCAGGACTACCAGCCCCCGAGCTGTGAGGTGGGGATTTCTGCCTTTCCTGCTCAATGTCTGCACAAGGGAGGGTCAGTGCCAGCGAGCAGGAGGACTCGAGGTTGGCCACAGACCTCAGTGCAGAGCCCGAGGGGAGTGGTATTAGAGCTTGAGAGGAGCCGGCCCCAGTCGAGCAGGGTGCATGGACACTTAGGGTTTGTCCTGCATGTGAAGGCTAGTGACATCACAGGACACAAGATATGGAGAGATGCTTGCGCCGGGTGAGGTGGGCTTGCAAACCAGCCAGTGGGGCAGGGGCGTGAGCAGGAGGTCTCCACAGTGGGTACAGGCTGCACACATAGCCCAAGACCAGGATCCCTCCTGGTGCGAGGCTCTAGTGTGGAATGTGGACTTCCAGTGTGCAGAGCCTCAGCAAAGGCAGAGACACGAGAAATAAGGAGTGGGTTTCCCATGGGCAAAGCCCCACAGAGTCCTGGGTTTGTAAGGATGCACAGGACCCACTAGGTTCGTAGCCCACCTGCAGGCTTAGGTACACCGAGGAGCCCAGCTGCATGCTGGGAAGTGGTTGCTTTGCATCTGTCTTCCTTATCACCCCACCTTTGTGTACCCCAGCCTGGGTCACCTAGACTGCACCCTCACAGGTCCTAGAGAGTCTCTCCACAGGACCCTGCCTCTCTGGGCAAAAGGCCTGTAGCCTTCCCAGAGCCACTCCACAGGCTGGGAAGGGACCAGTGCCAACTCTGCCTCTGGGCGTGCCAGGGAGGTTTTACTGATGGGGTCCTGTGTCTTGGGTCTGAGTGCCTTGGTTAGGATGAGATGGTACTCCAGGCACAAGACAGTTTCCCTGAAAACCATTTCCACAGATTCAAAAACAGTGTAGAAAAGTTGGGTGGTGGTAGGAGGCAGAATTTCACAGGGCCCAGCAGGATAGGGAAGGCCCGTGCCAGGATCGTTTATGGCTGGGAGCAGCCGTGGCCACTGCCTCCAGTCCCTCCTCCACACCTTTCCCCTCTGCAGGACCCCAGCAAGAGAGGCCTGTGTTAGTAGACCTATGCCATGCTTCCTGCCCCTGCTCCTCTCCCATTGGCTCATTTTTATTTCTGAGCTCCCACTGGATCATTCTTCTTCTGACTTCCCATTAGCCCACATATGTTTTTGGGCTCCCATTGGACTGTTCGTGCTTTGGTCCTCTTATTGGCCCATTTCCTGCAGCAGCAGGCCCTTCCTCCTCCTCGCATGGCCCAGTCTGGCATCCCTGGAGTGTGCACCTCCCCAAGCCCATCTTGCCCCCACACATGCCCATCTCCTCAGTTGGCTGTGGCTGCCAGGTAGAGAACAGCCTAGCTCTCAAGTCAGAGAAGTCCCTGGCATGGCTGGAGGTGCAGTTGCAACTCACCATGGGGGGGAACGGGAAAGACTGGAGTGGTGACATCATCCCTCCCCAGGGACATTTGGATGGCTCTGGGTAGAGGTGGCACTGTGGGCCCAGAGAATACTGGCCCTGTCTCGTTGGCTACCAAGGGGTGACAGGCCTCCACATCCCTGCCTGGGCCTGCTCCACAGCCACTCTCCTGCCCTAGGGCAACAGGCAGTGGGTGGCCAGGGGCCGCATGGGTTTCCATCAAGGCCGGGCTGAGAGATCTGGGTATCACATTTTAGAGAATATTTGTAAATAAATGGAATAGATGTGAAGAAGGGGTTGTGATCCGTATTCTCCAGTTCAGGGGACAAAGTGACACGTGGGCTGCTGCACAGACAGCTGGGCTGTAGAGGGCTGGCCAGCACACTTGGGTGCTGTGTAAACAGAACCCACACTGTCCACAGTGTGCTGTCTTGAAGGTTCCCATGGCCACGGCTCATGTGGTCATGCAGGTCCCCGAACTGCTGGCTCCAGTAAACCTAAATGGGAGAGCACTTGAGTTCCTTGATGCTGTCCGAATTCATTACGGTGGTGGCAGCATCTCGGCAGAGAGCAGGAGACTTATTGACCCTTAATCCATTTCCCTCAGCGTCTGCATGCTCTTTCCAAAGTGATGTCTGGGAGGCTTCTGAGGCATGGGTCAAGGCCTGACCTCAGACCACATTTGTATCGACCTCAGAGGCTGATTACTGAGCGGCAGCTCAGAGGCAGTGGAAATGCAGGGCCTCTGCCTCCAGGGTTCAGGCTCTGCTTTGTCCCAAAGCCCCGCCCATGTGGTGGAGGTCTCCTGCAGACACCCAGATCATCTCCGTTCATTCAGAGACCCCAAGTGGCCTGGCTGGGGAACAAAGGCCAAGTTGATGATGTTTGCTCCCGTTTTGGGGTGCTCCTCACAGCCCCTGGCTGTCACAGGCCTCTGTCCCACAAGCATGGCTTCTGCTTTAACTAAGCTCTCTTCTGATTCAGCACAGCTGCTGCCCCAAGCTGGTCCCTCTGCTCCAGCCCTATGGGTCATCGTGGTAAGGGAAGCTCTGTGGCCAGCTCCAGTTTGCAGGGAGAACGTCCCAGGAAGTATGGCCACAGACACCCAGTGAGGGCCTTCTGCCTGTGTCCATAGTGTCTGTCTGGATGGCCAGTCATTTGGGAGATTCTGCCTCCATTCTTGACAGTGAGCCTGAGATTCCCCCTGCTGAAAACTGTCCTCTCTTTGAAGTCACCTACTCCAGGCTGCAAGGTTCTACTTTCGATTCTCAGGTGCTCTAGTTCCACCGCTGCTGCCCACACAGTGCTCACCTGGGCAGGGCAGGACAGCACATTGGTGCTGTGCCTCTGGCACCTTTGGGGGTGAGTTTGTCCCTGAGGGTTGCTCGTGTCCAGGACTTTGAGAGGTGGCCTCAGAGGTACAAGAGTGACACTGCTTCAGGAGCCAGGCACACTGCGCACTGATTTGATGCCTTGGGAACCCGTGCCTGGTGCCTGACACGGGAGTGAGCTCCCGAGGTCGGGGTCAAACCACAGCTAACTGCCAGCTGCACCGCCAGGGCCTGTCAGATTAGTACTTCTGTAGCAAATTCACAGTGCTAGTTGAATGTCTTATGGTTTGGATGTGAAGCAAAGCAGGGGCTGAATGGTGAGGCTGCCGCTGGGTCTCTGAGACACGTTCTGTGCTGTTCCTTCACACAATTCCAGCTTCCTCTCGAATGCCTAGAACAGGCCTTGAGACCGGACATCTGTGTGGAGCACAGCAGGAGGCCTGCGTCTCAGTCTGGGAAACTTGCTTTGGTTACAATGACTGACTGGTAAGCATCAGTGACCATTCCAGTGATGATTGATTGGTAAGCATCAGTGACCATTCCAGTTCCTTCCTTGGCCACTGATTTTGGTCGTGGCTCACTGTCCCTTGCCTGTGACTCCTGTGGGGACAGCGGTCGCTCTGTAGGAGCAGCTGGCCAGGTCTGCAAAGAACCATGGCGAGGCGGGGCTGGGCCCTGGGGGGGCCCTAGCCTGGTCTTGCTCAGGGAGCTGGGGCAGAGCTGCTGCTGTGGGTACCGATGACCCATGCAACACAGGGGGAAGAGCAGCAGTGGGCTCCTCCAAACCTTTCCTCTGTGCAATCCCTGGAGGCTTTCCACACATGGTCAGCTCTTCACTCTCCTCCAGGGGCAAGGTCTGCTGGTCCAAGCAAAGGCACTCCATCATTAGTGGGCCTTGTACAGAGCAGATCTGCCACATGTAGCTGTGTCACCCACGTGTGCAGGGCCTTCGCTCCTCTCAGCAGCCTAGGACACAGGTGCCACCCCCACTGCACAGAGTAGGAGAGAGAAGAGCCAGAAAGCAGAGCCTCGCCCAGGTCCTGGGAACCCAGAGGACATGGCAGGAGAGTGCCCTGGCCCTCATAGGGCACAAACACAGATCCATGCTGCTTCTCCTCCCTGGATGACAGCTACTGTATGTCCAGTCTGTGTGGATGTGTTAGAGATGGGGTTTTAGGGACTGATGATCCTGTTTGACCTGGTGGTGTTGGATCGGTGTCTTTCTCAGGTGAGTAAACATGGAATTAAATATGGGAATTCCTCAAAAAACTAAAACTAGAAATTCCAATCCACTCAGATTTTCTCCTCTGGGTATCTTGTCCCAAAGAGTTGAAGACATCATATTACAGTTACCCATGCACACCCACATTTATAGCGGCACAGTCACAACAGCTACATCTTGGAAGCAGCCTGTGGATCCATCAACAGACAAATGGACAAATGTGGTCCATCAAACAGACAAATGTGGTGTTCACACTGTGGAGCACTCCTGAGCTACCTGTAGGAAAATGAATGCGGCGTGAGGCCACAGTGGTGAGATGAATCAGACACGTGAGCTTGAACAGTCATGCTTGCTCATATATGAAAAACTCAAATTATAAATAAAGAGCAAAATAAATGATAGAAGGAAAGAGGGAGATAGGCCTTTTGCACACAGGAAGAAGATCAAGAGATGGGGGAGGAGCTGAAGGGAAGTAAAGGGAATGGAGGTGCGTTATGTACTCGAACTGTGGTCGTTGCGAGTGGCAATCACAGCTGGTAACATTGGCCTCTGTCATCCCAGAGTGGACAGGAGCAGGGCGCCCGCCCTCACTGAGTACTTCCCAGCACACCAGGCCGTGCAGTGTGAACATCACTAGCCTCTGCCATTCAAGCCAAGGAAACGGTTTCCCTCCTCACTGAACACCTGCAGGTGCACAGAGACAGTGAAAACCCATGCTTGGGGTGCACACCCGTAATCCAGCACTCTGGGAGGCTGAGGCAGGTGCTGAACCCGAGCAACTTGGCAACTAGGACTTATCATCACAAGACCCTGTCTTAGAATAAAAAATAAAACAGCACTGGGGATGTAGTTCAGGGCAAAGTTCCCAAGTTCAATCTCCAATACCAGAAAAATTTAAAAAAATTTAAACTCAATAGGTCAAGAACAAACTGAAGTGAGCTTGGGTTGGGGGAATCATTGTGTAATTCCACTGCCGTTGGTGAGACAGACCTCGTCCTCGGGCCACTGGCTGTGATGGATGTGGACGGGGACACAGCCGCTCACCTTGCCTACCAGAGAACGCTCGGAATTCAGCATCTGAACCTCAGGACAGGGTCCCAGGATACACAACTGTTGTGTCTGTGGCCATGAGGCTTGCTCTGACTGTCTCTGGCTTCCTTGGCAGGTCCTCTCTAGTGGCCTCCTGGAGAAGGGGGCGGTGAGAAGTGACCTGAGGCCAGCCCTGGACCAGTGCTCCCCTGAGAGCAGGAAGACAAGAATTCCAGGTGCGGCTTCTAGGGAGGCGCCTCTGGCTCTAACGAAAGCACGTGCAATGTTCCCCGCGGCTCCAGGTCAAATGCACCCTTGAAATTTACTTCAATTCCTCCCACTGAATCTCCATCAAACAAACCTAAGGCAGAGGTCACACTTCCGTTAAGCCAGGAGACCTGAAGAACATCATCAGCCCCTCTTCTACACAGTTCTTAGAAGCAAGGCCAGAGATGAAGACTATTTTTGTAAGTGGCAACATGCATTTAGTACCCAGTGATGGGGTTACCCTTTCACATCATTTTAGCCCACCTGGGACTCTGGGAGTCAGCCGTGCCATCTTCCTATGGACCTCTGGGTGACAGTGACCAGGACAGTCCCACAGTCCAGTACTGCCTGGGCCCCTCCTGCAGTCCTGACAGCGGGTACATACTTTCAGAGGTTTCTTCTAGGAAAGCATTTAAGGCTACCATCCTTTACTGTGCTGCAGGATGAGGGGTGCTTGTGGGTCCCAAAAGGTAACCAAGGACCTTCGGATTCCCTGTGCCCCAGATTCTGGACATCACCGGGCTACAGTGGACATGACTGGGCCTAATGTAGCCTCCATAGTGTGTCAGTGGTGTCCGGTAGGGAAGAGTTAGCCCTGTGGTCGGGTTTGTCTGTCAGGAGCGGAGGTGGCGCAGTGCTTCCTTGGAGAGCTGTGCTGAGAGCTGCGGGAACAAACCAGGTCACCCGACTCCGCTGGCCGTCTTAGAATGAATAACAGCAGTGTGATGAAAAGCAGACTGGACCCACTGCTTCCCCTCGCGAGAAACCCCGAGGCTCTGTGGCAGTGGAGACTCGGGTCTGTGTGTGCAACACCAGCGTGGCCCCGTCTCCACCAAGGTCACAGGGCTGTGGTGATTGTGGAGGCACCCTGGACCTTGGGCCACCCACTGTCCGTGGGGACCTGGAGGAGCTGCGCTGTGGTCTCCTGAGAAAGGCTCCCCAGGCAGAGGTTTCTCCCCAGGCTTGGTTTCTCCTCAATGGTTCTCTCTTAATTCTTTTCCTCTGAGGTGATGAAAGGTGAGTCAGCGGGAAGTGCAGTCAGAAGCCACAGCCTGCTCCCACCATCCAGCCCAGGTCCCCTGCCCTCTAGTAATCACTGCCACACTGTTACAAGGACACGCGTGGAGCCCTAGGGCATAGTGTGCAGCTCACAGCACAGTGCTGCCAACTGCCACTGCAGCGCCGCGGAATGGAGCTCTGAAGTGACGCTTCTTACACAGCAGAAAACTGCTCTCTCTTAATGCCTCTCCACTTGTCCCTCTGTGGCCCACAGCCGCCACGCAACCCTGGTCCCGTAGTGTGACCAGCTCAGATGCGTCATGCTAGTGGCACCATGTAGCGTTGTTTTCTGTGCTTGGCTTTTTTTTAATTTTAAAAAGCAAAACAGAAAAAAGGATAGAAACGATACAGAATTCCAAAAAAAAGTAGGAAATTAACACTAATGGATTGCATATCATATCTTAAAAGTAGTTGTGCAGATTACAAGATTTAGGCATGAAAAAATGATGAAAAACACCAAACAATGAAAGCACAAACTGTTCTTTTAGATGAACTAACAGAAGTTAGTAGTATAATCATCTATCTTGTATATATGTCTGTGTATATATACCATATACATATAATCGTTTTCCTTCCTCTTTTTCTCCTTTCCCCTATCCCAGTTGTTCTTTCCTTTTGAGCACTTTCTTTCCCTTTCGTTATCACACTATCTATTTTGGATCTTACTACTCTTTGAGGTTTTTTTACACTAGGGAGACAATACAATATTTAAAAATGTGAGTTTCATTTATTTTACTTATAGGTATGGTCTCAAGTTGCCTCCATTTACCTATAAAAGCCTCAACATTACCCTTCTTTATACCTGAGTAATATTCTGTCATGGTTTATGTCTGTGTCCCCCAGCCCTCAAGAGTTTGAATTGTGCATTTGTTATTCGTTCATTGTCTAGTGCTTGGGTTGATTGTGTCAGTGCTCCACCCACATAGGGGTGGAGCCAGGAGGTTATGTAATGGCAGGAAGAAGGTGTGTCTTTCTCTTTGCTGGGTCGAGCTTGCTGTTTGCAGCTGCCATGAAGCCCACCCATGCCTGCCTGCCTTGGAGTCAACTGAGTGTGGACTGAAACCTCCAAAAACTGTAAGAAATAATCCTTTCCTTTCCCAACTTTGGGCTTCAGGTATTTTGTCTCCGCAACGAGTAAAAAGTAACTAAGACATATTCCATAGTATAAAAATACCACATCTTTTTTTATCCATTCTGCAGTTGATGAGTATAACATCCTCTTTCTGGAGTGTCTTCACTTGTGCCCTTTGGGCTGCCCTGATGTCTTGAATGGATTAAAAACCTTTATCTTTTGTAGTGTTTTTTGGGAGGAGCCAGAAGTCAAGCAGTGCCTGCTCAGTGAATAAGATGGAAGAGGACAGAACATAATCTCTTAACTTTATATAGTTATACAGTAAATGTCCAGTCAACTTGGGTGATCAAAAAACAATGAATACTTAAACATCTGTTATAGTTTAGGACATATGGCCATTAATCTTCAAAATACTCAAAATATCCTCACTCACTTCAAAGGCACTTATAATAATTTTTGACAATGTTTCTTTCATTGTGATTTTTTAAAATCACAGTAGTTTTCAATCACCCCTTTTGCAAGGGTTTCCTTTCTCCACCACCGCCAACACTTGTTACTTTTCTTTTTTGACAGTATCCATTATTATTGGAGTGAGGTAATGAGATTTTAAAGTAAGTTTTAGAAATAAAAGCGACTCGTGTTTAAGAAGTACAATGTGACATTTTGTACGCATAGACCTGGTGCAGTGGTCACTACATGAAACTTGGTTTTGCTGATCTTTTCTGTTCTCTGCCTTATTTCTGCTCAACACCATTTTTTTCCTCCTTGAACTAACTTCAGATGTGTTTGTTCTCACTCCTATGGCTCCCCGAGGTGTAAGTTTGGGCTGTTTATGCAGTGCCCTCTTTCGCTACTGCAGGTGCTGCTCGCTGTAGCCCTGGGCTTTGGTCTGAGGAGGTTGAAGTCCCAGTGAAGGGGACACCTCTGGGCGACTCCCCGAGTCAGAGATGGGCAAGGTAGCCATCTCACTTGGGAAGAAATGTGAAACCATGGGGTGGTTCAGGTTGAGGAGGCCGGGCTGACCCTGCCGCCCCCTACTCAGGGGCCTCAGCTTTGGGCTGCACAGATGTCCTGGGGAGCTGCTGCAGTGATGATGCATCACGTGTCTTTGTGGCAGCCGTCATTTCTGAGCAAATGTTTTCTTCATAGAGTGTGCACGCACATGCACGTGCATGCATATACACACAGAATATATCCACGTCTCTGGCACCTCAGAGTCAGCTGTGCTTGGCGCGGTCCCTGTTCTCCCACAGCCGCAGCTGCAGCATAGCTCTGGGCCCCAGCTCTTTTCCTCTCTTCCTCTTTTTCACATCTTCTCTCTTTGGCCAAACAAGAGCTGCTAGTGGTGTACAGCAGGGAAGAAGGGGAGGAAGTGATGGGGGGCCCACCTTCAGGATCACCACCTTCCAACTGGATCCCAGCTCCAGACAGTGGTCGATGCTGAGCCCTTGGCCCAGTCACTCCTTCCAGAGGCCCTGCCTGTGATCACAGGAGGGTGTAGGGGGCATCTAGACATAAATCATGACATGCATCTCACCAACCTCCCTAGAGCACTGGGGGTCTCCTCAGAATAAGAAGTTTGGGGTGGGGGTCATCTCCTGTGAGCTCTTCTGTCTCCTCCTGCTTCCCCAGTGGGAGACCTCTGGGACCACACCACAGAGCTGGTTGGTGATCAGAAATATGTGTCAGAAGAGGGACTCACAAAAACTACAAAGCTCTGTGAATCATCTTAGGGTAAAACATATGCATATTTTAGCATAAGACCAGCAATGTTTCCTGAGCTAAGGCTGCAGACTGGCTATTGAGTCCATTAAGGAACATTGTCCAGGGTTCAGCTTCCAAGTTTCCT